TAAGATTCACCCAAAGCAGTTTCTTCCAACTTTTGAGAATGCCCTCTGTTGCCATGACACCGCTGCCTCCAGACTGTTTTGTCCCGCAGCATCTGAAAGAGCGATCCTCTATGGAATGCATTATTCCTGGCTCCCTTTGTTTACTTTCTGATCCCTTGGTTACTTCAGGAGTATTTTCTGAGGGAAAGCACATGCAAATCACCACACATTATTCTAGAGACAGTGTGTATGAGTGTGTTGGGGTGGAGCAGAAGGTCCCTGGGCAAACAGAGAGAGGCCTGGAGGAAGCACACTGGCCGGTCTCTGCACACTCCTCCCTAGCAGGCTGGACCTTGATTGGCCTGTGTCTTTGGAATCTGTCTTTCTGGAGTATACACATACCCACCTGGCCAATAGGGTCCCATTAGAGTGAAGAGGCTGAGTGAACTCCCCATGGCTCAAGAATGGCAGCTATCATTGCTGTGAGCCTTGTCCCTGGGGCCCTGTAAACAAGACTGAGACCTGCTGGATCTTAGGTACCACAGTGTCCTCTATGTTCTACTCTCTCATTTGTGCAAGGTAGACGGTCACCCACAGCTTCTTCTGTCACTCTTGCTCACCCAAGCAGAAAACTCCTTCAGGCATATCTTGGTAGCATTGTAGGGCAAAGCCTGCATCCTCATCCCAGGAAGAGGTCAGGGAAGGTCTAGGGACATGGATGGGGACAGGGTGGCAAAGTGTGAATGCAAAGGGCAATTGGGGGCAGTAACGGACAGTGAGGAGAAGTCACACTCAAAAGCGCTGGGGTCAGAACCAAGGGCATGGTGGCCAAAGAAGCTGAAGAGGAGGCAAGTGTTTATTAAGACAGGAGTTTGGAAACATCTAATGAGAAGAGTGACAGCTGGAGGTCAGATCCTAGGCAGGAGTAGCCGAAGTCTTGGAAATGGTGCCCTGGAAAGGAGACCACATGACATTCTTCAATGTGAGGTAGCAAACATCAGGGAAATTCCATCATGCCAATCCACAGAGACAGAAACAGAATTGCAGAATGCTATTACTACGACCCCCGCCCGGAAAATGCAAGGAGCAAAGTTTACCCAATCAGCTGCCAGGCTGATAATGATGGCCATTAGAACTTCCATGAGGGTAGCATTTAAACAGCTTTTGGGAACACTTCCAGGGTTGGGTTTTTGAATTTTGTTGTTGGTGGTGGTTTTTTTTTTCTTTTGGTTTTTCTTTTTTTTAATCTCAAGTCACTCCCTCTAAAAGATAGTGGAAATAAATTTGAATAAACAAAACAGGTTTGCTGAAAATAAAAGCAGGACACCTCAGCTGCTCCAGTCAGCCTGCTTCCAGAAGGCCTGTCAGGCAGGGTAGTACTGGTGGCTGGTGAGCACTGTCCGGCATGTACCAGGTGAGTGGCCCTGATGTCTAGCAGAGGACTGGCTGAGAGAGAAAGGAGTAGAGATGGTATTGAGTGTGTAGAAAGCCTGGTCTTCCAGGCTTTTGCTCTCAGGGAGCTGCAGGGGGTGGGGGGGGGCGGGGCTCATATAGGATGGGACCTGAGAGAGTCACTTTCTTATTGGCTTTTGCTCATAGGCTGTTGCATTCTTGGCAATGATGGTGGGAACCCACACCGCCAGTTTGCGGATCCAGGAGAACTGCGGTCACTTGCCCAACTGCTGCTCCAGCAAAGAACAAGAACCCCCCGAGGAGTGGCTGAAGTGGAACTCTGCATCTGTGTCTCCCCCAGAGCCTCTGAGCCACACCCACCACCCAGAATCCTGCAGAGCCAGTAAAGATGGCCCCCTCAACAGCAGGGCCATCTCTCCTTGGAGCTATGAGTAAGTGTACTTAGTCCCCTCCTGAATGTATTCATGTATCCCCTAGGTGATGTATGAGGGACGGGGTTGGGGGGGCAATTCCACCCAATTTGACCTACCAGCCTCTTTTAATTAACTAAACAGACCAGATAGGTTTGGGGGCTGTGCAGGACTGAATTTGACTCTCAGTTCTGCCCTCGTTATGTTGGGTGATATTTTCAAAGTTCCTTCTTTCCGTCTTTTCTCTAGATTATATTCTAGAGGCTAATATATAGGTCAAATGCAACAATGTATGTAGAACCCATATTTACATTGATTCTGTTTCTTGTTTGGTTTCTACCATAACTCATATTTCTCTAAAGTATCAAGTAGTAATATGTAACACAGAGACAAAGCACCACTATGCCACATGCTATCAATCAACCCTTGTGGGGCAGGTGGGAGGCCAGATCCTTAGGCTTGTTATCTTTAATCAAAGCCACAGTTCTCTTAGTCTTTTACACACTTTGTCACATACATATTGTAACTCTTTATTTATGCCACAATATGAAATTGAGACAGAGAAACAATTTACAAATTAGGGTCGTAGGGATTCCAAACATATGATTTCATTCTTGTATCTTCACATGGTTACACACCCCTCCCCCCCATGTGTCTCAGGTGCTTAGCCTTACCTTTGAGGGGTTATGGAGATAGCCCTGGTATAGGGAGCTGGTCAGCTTTAACTGATATTGTGTCTAAGACACCAGTTCATAATGCTTTGGAGTAGTCTCAGAGGCTACATGGAAGATCTGCTAGGGGCTGTGGGTGTCTCAGCTACACCTGTCCTCTTCTCAGAAAGGCAGGGATAACCTTTGATAACCACTTAGCAGACCGTCTACAACATATGCTCTATACAACACTGGTCCCATCAGCTGTTTCTCAGAAAAAAAGTTATGGGCGTCAAGTTGAGTTTGTAAAAGGTTACAGAGCCCCATCCCTTGAAGATTCAATGCTCTCCATGCATTACAATTGGCAAGAGGCCTACTAAAAAAAACCATTAGTTTTTCCCAGACTTAGTGGATTGCAGAAGCTTTTGTTTTTCAGTCAGTCAGTCAGTCAGTCAGTCAGACAGACAAACTACAACAAAATTTCAAGGTATTTATTATGGAATCTACTTTGGGAAATGCTTGCCGTAGCTGGACTCCAGTATCCCAGAGCTTGTATGAGAAATGGTTCTACTTCATTGCTGCTTCTTGCTAGGCTACTGGATAAAATTTTTTTTTTTTTTAGTATCTTCTTTGCAGTTTTTGTTTTGATCTGTTTTTTTGTTGTTTCCACAAATCTTTTCTGAATCAGTAAGAAAGAAAAAGTCTTTCCCATGACCTCTGTGTGCTTGTGATACATGCTTGGCTAATGGCTGGAGTGTGGACATGAAGCAGCTCTCCCTGGGGAGTAAGTAGAGCAAAAGCAAACACTTGGTGTTCACTATGTATTCGTTTATATGTGCCTGTCGACTGTGTGGCACAGGTTAGTCTCAAACTCATGACAGTCTTTGCCTCAGTCTCTCAAGTGCTGGGATTACAGGCATGTGCCACTATCCCAGCCTCACAGTAGGTTTTAGGTTTGTAATAGCGTAATTTAGATAAACACCATAAGATGTAATACCTTACTAAGAAGCCTCATGTGTATCAGGCCGGTGCAACGCTGGTCTGGTGGAGGCTGGAAGGATGTTCTTCACCTTCCTCTGTGCTGTAAGAAGCTGTCACAGCTATGGCCTGGCACTGAGGGCCAGTAGGAAAGTTACTATTTTTGTCACATTACTACATTAATAGTGGGAGGAAGTAAATCTCAGAGAGGAAGGGGTAGCATTCAAAGTTACACAGTATTGGGTGCCAGAACAGATTTAAGAAGTTGAGTCCCCAACCACACCGTTTGTTCCCTTCAGCTTCTCCACCCTACCTACCCCTTGTTTCTGGCCTGTCCCTCCAGGACTGATCAGCTCTGTCCCCACAGGTTGGACAGGGACTTGAATCGGGTCCCCCAGGATCTGTACCATGCTCGATGCCTGTGCCCACACTGCGTCAGCCTACAGACAGGCTCCCACATGGACCCACTGGGCAACTCAGTACCACTCTACCACAACCAGACAGTCTTCTACCGGCGGCCATGCCATGGCGAGGAAGGTTCCCATCGCCACTACTGCTTGGAGCGCAGGCTCTACCGAGTCTCCTTGGCTTGTGTGTGTGTGCGGCCCCGTGTAATGGCTTAGTGATGCTTGCCACCTGCCTGAGGCTGATCCCGTTTTGGGAGAGTGGGCCAGGTGTACAATCCCCTTGCCAGTGTGGGCTAGGGTGCCTGAATGTTCAAGCTCCCCAAAGCCCTACTTGAAGCAGCAGGCTCCTGGGACAAGATGGAGGACTTGGGGAGAAACCCTGACTTTTGCACTTTTTGAAAGCACTTTTGGGAAGGAGCAGGTTAAGCTTGTGCTGCTGGAAGATGCTGTTGTGGCATTTCCTCTCAGGAATGAACTCCAAAGGCCTGCTGACCCTGGAAGCTGTACTCCCAGCTTTTCCATTCCTCTGAATCCCCCAGTCCGGCACGGACATTTTCTCCACCTTTCCCCTTTGCCTTTCGTTGCATTTGTTTGTGAATGTCAACTCTGCATGCAGCCAGGTGTAATTACTTGGAATCAGATGGTTCTGAGGAGAAAGCTATTATCGAACGTGAAGAGATTTATCCAAATAAATATCTATATTTTAAAATGGTCTTATTTGTCTTTGCCATCTGTGGTACTGGAGCATCCTGTCATCCCCAGCGGGGTCCTTTCTCCTCTCTAGCTCTTTCTCCACTCTGCCACTCTCCCTACTTTCCTGGGTGGCCATTACATTCATCCTTCCCCTCCCCTGGTCCATCCCTGAACACAAGGGTGGGGGTCAGACAACTCAACATGGAGGAGAGACAGAAGGCCATTGAGGCACTGCAGTAGGCACACAGCGCCCCCTTGTCTCCCCAACAATCCTCCTTTGTCCTCTGGTTCTTGCTGTTGCAGCTTGGTCCAGCAGGGTACTGCCTGGGCTGGGCTCCAATTCCCACCTCCCTTAAAGGAAAAGAGAGAAAGGCCCAGCCAAATAAGAGGGCTAAGGTTATGGGAGGGGGTATAAACATCTTCAGGCTTTGGTTGCTGGGGACTCCTTGCTCTGTCTGTCTTTCTCCTACCCCCCAACTCCTCTGGTTTCTTTCCCATCTCTTCCTCTCCCCGCTCCTTCTTTCCTTCTTCAGGGTGGGTTAGGCTGGAGGAAGAGGAGGGTTAACCACCTCTCTCTCACCCCTCCCCATGCCTCCTAGGGGCCCTGCAGGCCAGAGCACAGGCACTCTGGGCAGCTGGGTGAAGCCCATCTGGGCAAGCCTTCCCTGGGTACTGCCTTTCACCAGAGTCCTACAGCAGGCCCAAGCTTCACTTCCAGGCTCCTGTCAGCTTCTCTAACCAGATTTCTGTTTCCCTTCCTGGGCTGCTGGGAATCTGGTGAGAGAGAGTCTGTGTCCTGTGAGCCTCACAGAGAGAGATGTTCAGTGCTTGGGATCGACGGGAGCAGCCTCCAGAGGAAGGAGCAGCTGCAGGGCTCCAGGGCTTCGGAGTGGACAAGACCTTCCTGTCTTCCCTCAAAGGCATCCTGCTGGAAACTGAGCTGGTAACAGCTGCCTCCCCAACCTTGTGCCCCCACCTCTCCCATCCCAGCCCCCTGACACAGCTTTGTGCTGGCCTTCTGTGCTCACCATTTCACAGCCCCCTTCCCAGGTCTTCTGTCTTCCCACGCCCAGGCTTACCTTCTGCAACTCTTAGCTTTCTGGCCACTTCTCTGTCTGGAGGCAGTTGTAGCATGCACCATTCACCGCAAGACGGAAGTTAGATGGAAAGATAGCTTTCTAGGATACTGAGGGAATGAGCCATGGGAGGGGACGGGAAGAGGACCGACAGGAAGAAGGCCACTCTGTTTCCCTCCAGCTTCTAGGAGGGCTACTTCTTGACATGTCTAAGTCTAAGTATACAAAAGGGTAGATTTACTTCTTGACATGTCTAAGTATCCAAGAGGATTTCTGACAGCCACACTTTATCTGTCAGTTGTTACCATTACCATCTAGTCTCAGGCTTTCCCTGGTTACTGAGCAAGATCACAGTGCTAACACAGGACCTTTTCCTTATCTGCCATCCTATATGCAGCAAGCTCCTGTCTTCTAAGCCTCTCTCAGCATGAAATCTGTTCTTGTTATATGACTTTTAGCTATCAGAAGTAGAGAAAGCTTCATGGGGCAGAGGTGCTGTGGTCTGGTGTGTCCTGTGCCCCCGGGAACTCCCCTGGGGCTCTGCAGATTGGTCAAACTGATGGAGTTGCTGGGATTCCTGGGATAGCAGGAGTGGGAGGATGGAGATGCCCTTGATGGTCCCTGACACTAAGGATGAGTCACTTCTTTGTCTTCATTGAGAACTCTTCCTTCTCACTGAGGCTGGGTAAAAGTACCTGCTGAGAAGAGGAGCTCCCAACCACAGCCAAACCATGGCCTGGCCTGTGCATGTGTCTCCTCAGAAAGCTCCCTGCACTTGGTCCTGCAGGCCCTGACCTTCATCATCTTCATTTGCTTCACGGCCTCCATCTCTGCCTACATGGCTGCAGCGCTGCTTGAGTTCTTCATCACACTGGCCTTCCTCTTCCTCTACGCCACGCAGTACTACCAGCGCTTCGATAGGCTTAACTGGCCTTGTCTGGTGAGGAACATTGCCTCTCCCTCCCCTTCCTAGTCTCTTCCTTCTCTCTGATTGCCCAATTTTCCTGTAGCCTTGTGGCTTCCCTTCATTTCCACAACTGAGCTATGCTTTGACTCATGTTGTGTCCTGTGCTCAAACGTGAACTTTGGCCCGTGAGACTGCCCTTGTCAAGGAGAATTGTCAAGGAGGATGTACAGATCTTAGACCTGTTCTCCCACACATAAAAGGCCTAGCTCAGTCCTGCTCCATGTGGCATGTTTACTGGTCTCCCCTCTGCCTCCTGGCTGATCTGGATTTATCTGCTTCCATCTTCTGGGTAGGTTTCTGAGCTCACTCCCTTGGAAGTACGTGGCATGTGTCTGGGGGTATCCCTGGGCAGGAACTCAATCTCTGAGGACCAGACAGGGAAAGCTGACTAGTTTGGGAGAGCTCCATGTAATGATCCCTTCCAGCATCCTCCAAACCCTCCTCCCCCTGCCTCTGGCTCCCCAGGACTTCCTCCGGTGTCTCAGCGCCATCATCATCTTCCTGGTGGTCTCCTTTGCTGCTGTGACCTCGAGGGACGGAGCTGCCATTGCTGCTTTTGTGAGTCCATTCCTACAGTGCTCTCCAGCACCCAGGACTTGTGGCTGGTATTGGCACACTTCCTGTGCCCAAAACAAAGCCTGTGCCCACTCATATATCATTCCCTCACTTCTGGCCCCATTCCCCCTCCCCACTCCCCTAGTCTGATGGCCTCTGCTGCCCCACTCCCATCCCTTTCCACAGGTTTTTGGCATCATCCTGGTCTCCGTCTTTGCTTATGATGCATTCAAGATCTACCGAACTGAGCTGATGCCCAGGACCACGGAGGGTGAGTTGTCTGTGCCCTGAGAGAGGAGATGCCCCTACCTCTTGCCCCAGATACTGTAGGCATACATGGTTTCTCTGCCTGGCTCCCTCTCCACAGGGGACCAGCAGTGATTCCAGGATTCCTGGCTTCCACAACCAGACATAAAGAATCATGGAGCCCATCTTTGTCATCTTTGAATTCATTGAACCCCAAGTGCCCACTATCTACTCTGTGTCTTCAGAGATTGTGCTTGCGCTGTCCCAGGGATCTGTGGAAAGTGGTGAAGTTCTGGGGGTCGGGGCAGGTTGCTGTGCCTCCAAGTCTCTCCAAAATTAAAAAAAAAAAAAGTCAAATCCCAGTGGTGATCTTCTTCTTCCTCAGAACTTACACAGACTAGAAAGCCAAAGAGTTATTCATGGGAACGTGCTCCAGAGAGCCAAGATCCTCTGTGGGGTGAGGGAGCATGGCTTAGATGGAGGGAACTGAAGAGATACTTCAAGGGGAAAACTTTTGTACCTTAGCCCAACACATCAGCGGATTGTGAGATTGCCAAAATGCTATGTGCTGGGCTGTTCAGGAGTGAGATGGCTAGGCCTTCCTGGCCCAAGTGACAGCCTAGCAAACTTCTTAGGCGGGGGCAATGGTCCTTTTCTGGGGTTTGTGTAGAGCTCCCCCTTGTGGTATGGGGAGGGCTGGGCGGCAGACATAGTGGAGGGAACAGCCAAAGGTCTCAGGAGAAATTCCTAAAATGCCAGCACCTGAAAGAAAAGTTCTTAGGCGTGAGCTGGTCACATGCCCTCATTCTCTGTGAAAGAAAACTGGGGCTTAATTACGGGAAGTGACCTCCTTGTGGCAAAGCTGGCGCTACAGCATCTTGACCTCGAGACAGTACTGTTTTGAGTCCTTCTGAAGCTCTGAAACCAAGGGGCCCATGCCTTTGCCAGAGGACCTTCCTTCCTAGCTTGCCACATTCTCAGAACACATTTGCTGAGTGTTTCCTGTCTGCAGAGCCTATACTTGATACCAGAGATTTAGAGGTAACAGTTGGGCCTGAAAGAGCAAATCCACTTGGAAAGGAGTTTGAGACAGGAACTGCCTGGTCAGTGATAATCTAGTTTAGACACGCCCTTCCTACCTGGCTGGAGGAACCCATCATGGTTCTTATATGTGGGTCCATTCCCGCTGACATCTCGCCCTCTCTCTTTAATGCTTTACCCTTCTCCTGAAATGTCTTTCTTCCTTCGGGATGGGCCTGTCAGTTGCAAGCTCTGGCCCCAAGCCCTGACTGTCCCCTGGATCTTGAACTTGGGAGATGTGCCATGCTTTTCTGTGATGACTATACTTCTCTTGAGTAGATTTTTTCCTGCTTCCTATTTCCTGTCTTCCTATCTTTGTGTTCTGTTACCTCATCAGGCCTGGTAGTCATTCCAGGGAAGGAGGCTACTGGACTTTGGGTTTCTCTGGACTCTGTTTATGGTTCTCAGGCTTTCTGCATAGTCTATGCTCGAGTCTAGATGACTGCTCTTGGTCAGGATAATGGAGGGTAGAGTGGGCATAGTCTCAGAGGAGAGATGGAAAGCCTGGGCTGGGGAAATGGGGAGGAGATTGTAGGTTTGAAAGGGTAAAAAGGGGGTCTGGAGAACATTGTCCAAATACCCAGAGGACAGCCAGAGATCTCAGCTCCACCCCTGAGCAACTGTGTGTCCAGTCCTCCAAGGAGGAGAGAGATACAGAGACAGAGACAGACAGACAGTGACAGATATAGAGAAAGACACACACAGAGAGACAGAGAGAGACACACAGAGAGAGATAGAGACAGAGAGAGATAGGGACAGAAAGAGAGACAGACAGACAGAGACAGACATAGAGAAAGACACACAGAGAGAAACAGACAGACAAAGAGACAGAAAGACACAGATAGACTGACAGAGAGAGAGAGAGAGAGAGAGAGAGAGAGAAAGAGAGAGAGAGGGAGAGAGAGAGAGAGAGAGAGAGAGAGAGAGAGAGAGAGAGAGAGAGACTTGTGTCAAACTGTAGGTCTGTACATGCACCTATGTATGTCCATGTGAAGGGATACAAAGTGAGGATTGTCCCCATTTGGTCCATACCCATAATGACTTGGGCTCAGCAGCATCTGGTACCTGAGTCCTGGAATGTCCTCATGGTGAGGCCTGACTCACAGAGCTAGGGCAGATGTTGGGGTGGGGTCTCAGCTGTTTCCTGAGTATCCCACAGCGGTTTCCTGTGCATCCATCCCCAGCAGTGCAGAGACTCTTGGGGCATCAGTGGGAAGATCATCTTGGAGGGAACACATGGCCCGGGGCAACTTTAATTTCTGCCAGCTAAGAGGTCGAGCTGTGGAAGGGTGGCTTCTACCTTAGCACCAAACTTCCATCCCCCTGGGTCTGACTTGGCTCCCTTTCAGTGCCTCTGTTCTTTGTATGCTTTGAGGGGTTATTGTTTTCTTGTCTTTGATGTGGGGGTCTCATGTTACCCAGGCTGGCTTTGAATTTGCTTTCTAGCTGAGCCTGCCCCTTGCCTCTACCTCCTCCTGGAGGCTTGGCCATCCCTCATATCAGTGGATTTGATTCTCCCAGTTTTGGAAATGTCCCCTTTCTTTACTTGCACAACGACCAAGTATAGCTGGGACTGTGACTGTGCTACCTGAGACAGGACACCCCACTTCCCTCTTGGCCTCCACAGGCATGGGGTGCTTTGGATCCTACAGCTTTGACAGTCTCTGCCGTGACCATCCTCCTCCAGGGCAAAATTCTCCACCCAGATAGACTATTGGTAGGAAGGACAGGGATACAGGCAGAGTTGAGCGTTTGTGTTTATTGTAGATCAGCAACAGCGAGGTTCTGCTGGAAAGGTTATTCCTCATCGTGCATTTTCTGCAGAGAAAGGAATAAGGAATAAGACATGTGAGGCCAATGGGCAAGATGGCCTGGGGAGGAATCTCTAGGGATTTCAGTGGCTCTAGGAAGATGCACTAGGAAAGAGAGGGGTTAAACCTCAGGGGTCATGATGGCTGTGCTTGTAGTTTAGAACATGGATCTGGGGCTGATTCGAGTGGAGAGTAGACTCTCAGGTTAGACGTGTCTGTGGTGTCCAGTTTTATGTATTGCCTATTCTATGTCTAAATGCACATGGGATACATATGTAGCTGTTCAGAGCATCATGCATGCAAGGGCATCCTGGTGAGACCATAACTAGCAGGGCCAGGGGAGGAACCCACCTTGGCACCAATGTCACGGCTCTTGGCCCGCAGCTTGTTGACCTGGGACTCGGCGATGTCCGCCCTCTCCTCTGCCTCATCCAGCTCGTGCTGCACCTTGCGGAACTTGGATAGGTTGGTGTTGGCCTGCTCCTCCTATGGGCAGATAAAGGGGATGGGAGATTGGGATGAGAAGAACTCTGGAATGGGCTCTCAGGTTCTCACGGTCCATGTCCCTGAGCTATTCCTCACCCAGTTCCTCCAACAGCCCTCCCAGGCATGTCCTGCTTGGCACCCTCCTCAAACGTGTTCAGTGTTTAAGATCTTTCATCACCACCCACTGCCTCGAATGAGCCTGTGCTGCTTGGCGAGCTCCGGGAGAATCCAAATTCAGTGCATCTATTCCAGTTGTGCCTCAGATGCCTGCCGACTTGGGGGTTTTCTGCACATCTGTGCTCATCCACACCACACCCACTTGTTTCTATCCACCCAAACGTCTTCTCTTTTACCCTGTGTTTAGTCAGGTTCCTGTCTAGGTTCAGCTCCAACTCGTGGCCTTTTGCTGCCCTGCATCTCCACGCTGTCCCTTTGTCTTAATGGTATGTGGACTGTAAGCAACTAGTGCGCAGATGAGGGGCAGGAACAGCACTGATCTTTGGAACTTAGGGTGCTAGATACAGTTCTGATCGTACATGCAGAATAAATGTCTGAGCTGAAGGTTAGAGCAGACCCTTGTCTCTGCCCCCCTGTGGCAGATGCTCACTGGTTCTCTCTAGCAGATGTGTGGATAAAAGATGAAGAGACAGTTCTGAACTCACCGCCTCCTCAGCCTGGCGCTTGTAGGCCTTCACCTTCAACTGCAGCTTGTCCACCAGGTCCTGTAGCCGCATCAAGTTCTTCTTGTCTTCCTCTGTCTGAAGGTGGGTGGGAGGGAGAAAGATGCCAGTTTTGGTGAGAGGAGCAACTGTGGTCATCAGTCCCTCCTCCCTTACTTTGCTCTTCTCTCCAGGCCTCAGCTGCCTCTCCCTCCAGGGGCTCAGGTCAAGGGGTTGCCCAAAGGGATTTTTCAGTCAGGGACCCACAAATTAATGAGTGTCCAGGTGCTGGAAGTGAGGGGAGGTTCTCAGAGCCACAGGGAATTTTGATTTATATGTTTGTTTGTTTTTATTTGCATTGGTGTTTTGCCTGCATATCTATCTGTGTGAGAGTGTCTGACCTTGGAATTACAGTTTTGAGCTGCCGCGTGGGTGCTGGGAATTGAACCTGGGTTCTCTGGAAGAGCAGTGAGTGCTCTTAATCAATGAGCCATCTCTTTAATCCTCTGGGGAACCTCTTACTGCAGTCATATGGAGGCATAGGGTCTGCCTGGTGAAGAGTTTCCCTTGCAGTAACATGGGCACTTTTAGCCAATGGTTCAAAGCGACCAGAAGAATAGTAAAGAAAGCTGGCATTATCACCATCTAGATTATTCTATCTAACATAGCCCAATATTCTCTTGAGGCAGGATTTGGGCAGCAGGGTCTGTGGCTCCAATGCTCCTCGGTCATTCTGGTCTCTATGTCATGTTCTAGGATGCCATTGCCTCTTTGTCCACAATAGGTCTGCCTCTTGTATCCCTTTCTTAAATGGACCAATGCACCCATCTCTTTAGGCTTCTCTTCCCAGACACTGAAAATAGCAGGCTAGTGGCCAATCTCAGCTATGTAGATGGTGTTCTCAGACACTCTGAGATAGATGGTACCCTAAGGCAGGTGTCCTGTCAGAGAAACTGCAGCTAGCATCTAAAAGTGCTGGTGTGAAGTGGTGCCTGGTATTAGTGACTGATGGCAAGGCACAGAAGAGCCCTGTTTGAGCCCATAGGTGGGCTTGTAAAGCCATTGCTCCATCCTGTCTTCCCTGCCCAACCTGGTAGGTGAGCTCCTTGATGCGCCGCTCGCTCTTCCTCATGCCCTTCACTGACTCTGCATTGCGCTTCTGCTCAGCCTCCAGCTCATTCTCCAGCTCCCGAACCCGGGCCTCCAGCTTCTGCAGCTGCTTCTTGCCGCCCTTGAGGGCGATCTGCTCTGCCTCGTCCAGCCGGTGCTGCAAGTCCTTGATGGTCTGCTCCATGTTCTTCTTCATGCGCTCCA